AACATATAGATTTCCGATTTTGTTTATTATAAAATGTCGATCATTTTGTACCCTTTAACTGCGATCTACCAATTAATATTTTTCCGTATTTAATTTTTTTTCATATTTAATTTAATTTAATTTTTTTTCGCATTTAATTTTAATTTTTTTTATATATTTAACTAATTCTTTTCGTATTTAAATTAATTTTTTTTGTTTTAAATTAAATGTTATTTTTTACGTATTTAAATTATTTTATTTTTATTTTTCTGTATTAAAAATAATTTTTTATTTTTTCATATTTAAATTATTTTTGCTAACAAAAAATGTTTATATTCGAAGCGAAGCAAAAAGTTGCATTTGACAAATAACGTTGTAGGAATTATGTGATAATTCTCATTATAGTTGTAGTAAATTTTTGTAGAATCAATTATATCTCGAAATTTTGAAAGCTAGTAAGAAAAATTTTGAATTCTCAAAAAAATAAAGAAATTTTTTGAGTCTCTAATTCTCAAGAAAATAAAAAAAATTGGTGACTTAAATATTTGAATATTTTGAAACTTCCGAAAGTTTGCACGAATCTCTAAATTCTCAAAATAAAAAAAATATTCGAATAAATTAAATATTCGAGATGCTTTCTCGATCTCGATATGCTAAAGGTAGCGTGATTTACTTTATCCAATTGGAGATAGTATATCATGTATCCAATCAGAACTGGGTGAGGAATTAGGGCTCCCTACAATTTTTGTTCACGATCGAAGCTAAACCGGATTAATTACCCCACTCGACCGTAACACCATTCATCGGTTCGGCTTAGCCGTTTGCAACATGAATCAAATTGAAATTCAGCATGTAAATTTAAACCGTATTTAAACTGATTTACTCCATGTCTTCAGCAAAATCGTAGCAAAAAAAAAGGCGATTATCCAACCAACGAATGTATCTCTTTCGACAGCACGAAATGCCTTACGAATATATGTTGTTTATAGCAAAAATATTTACAGTTTTTATGGCTTTAACTTTGAACAAAACCAACGCCGAAAATAATGAAGCGTTTAAGTATTAAAAATAAATTATTATTTTTGACATAAAAGTTAGAAAGTAAAATTGTTATCTTTGAGTTTTCATTAGCGATAAGTGTTTCGAATATAAAAATCAAACAGGAGGGAACGTTGTTGTTACACGGCTGATTTTACACACGGTGTGAAGCACATAAAAAAATTATTTTACAATACTTGATCGGACTTGATCAGTCAACTAGTACATGTTATGATTATAATCCAACACCATTTTTTATTATTAAAAAATGATGTTGGATTATAATCGTAACATGTACTAGTTGACTGATCAAGTCCGATCAAGTATTGTAAAATAATTTTTTTATGTGCTTCACACCGTGTGTAAAATCAGTCGTGTAACAACAACGTTCCCTCCTGTTTAAAAATCAACGATTATAATTTCGTTAAAGATTTATGACGTAATATTAATATGAAATAATTACGTAGAGAAACAGATAATCGACTTCTCTTAATTATTTGTCGTCATCTTAAAAATATTCATATGAAAAGCTTTCCTTTTTAAAAAATTTTATTTGTAAAATCAACTACCGTAAAAGGTCATATACAAGATCCCCATATAACAAATCCATCCTCGCATTTTTTAAGTATTTTCTTTTTTTACTAATTAATTTTTTTGGTGAGATGAAAGTGACCTGGGTCTAGTGCATAACCTTTTATGGTAGTCATTCAGAACGTTCAGAGCACGGTAATAATAACGTAAATAAATTTCATCACTCGTTAGTCTATATAAACGGTCACTTTGCTCTTACGAAAATTACAACTTAAAATATAAATTAATATTAAAACAAACCTTTTAAAAAAATGTCCGCTGAGGATAATGTTGCTCACGTTACTAGAACAAGTTCAACTGCGCTTGATGGTGTTGGTGCAAATCCACTTGGTATTTATTAAAGAGTCAACCCATATTTTTTCAAGATATTTTTTTTTTAATTAAAAAATGTCTCATTAAAAACCAAAAAATTAATAAAGGTGAAGATAATGCTGCCCACGTTTCTCAAAAAGGTTCAACTGCACTTGATGGCGTTGGTGCAAATCCAGTTCCACTTGGTATTTATTAAATAGACAATTTCTAATTTCTTTTTTTATTAGATTTTTTTAATAATCTTCATCGTAGATGAATCCGCTGAAAAAACACAATCACCTACTTCAGTTTCACCTACTACAGTTAAAGACACTGTAAGTGCGGCTATTGGTAAAACTATTGAGGTTGTCAAGGTATGCTTATCTCTTTGTGGTTTGTTATATCAATACCCATAACCTACGACGTATAATGCTAAAATGATATGCTAATTATAGGGAACTTTTGATAACCATTGTAGACAGCAATAAAACTATTGATGCAGACCAAAAAGTTGATGATTCAGGCAGAGTTAAAGTTGATAAATTAAAATTATAAAATTTGAATCTGTATTATTCATTTGCGAACTTTCGAGAATGTATACTCAACATAGTATCAATATTGATGTACGTATTTTTTTTGCCCGATTAACAAGCAGGGATATGTAATGTAGTGTTAAATAATAGTAACAATCATAATAAAAATATATGAATTTACTACAAACTCCAAGTTCAATCCTTTTTTATTTAATATTAATTTACTGTATTTTTAAATGTTGTTATGCAATAGTACAAAATTTTTTTTAAATGTATTAATTTTGATAAAATTTTTTTGTATTAAAACATGTTTATTTAAAAAATAAATTAGATTAAAAGGATAATAAAAAATTTTTCCTGCTTAAAAATTTTTTTAAAAAAATCAATATAAAACATGCACAGTCGCCCCAACAAGCAGATGCCCAAATTGATAATGGTCCCAAAATTGAAAAGCCTAGGTTTCAGAATGTTGGATTGGGATGACGAATTGGAGAGTTTAGCGTTCGCAGAAGTTGTAGAAAAAGGAAATATAAAGTTTTAACATGGATAAATTAAAGTAAAACCATCTGTTAGAATTTGAGAACGTTTGATAGTGGAAAGTAGCGGTGAAACAGGAAGCCTAAAATAGCATAATTAGTTAGTAGTTTGAAAAATGTATAAAAGCAACAACAAATGATAATAAAATAATCGTACCTCTAAAAGAAACATATTCGCCCAAATCGTCTTCGCGCCTCTCTCATAACACCTTAGTGTGTGTTGGTGCGAAGGTGTAGTTGTGGGCCAGTTTCAATGTTAAATAATCGTTCCTTATATTAAGTCATCCTTAATATTAAAAGTAAAGCCTCATTTAAGAGCGGCTGAATTATCAAATTTTCTCATACTATATTATTTATTTATTCGACTAATTTATGTTTCTAAGCCAAAGAGGTGATGATTTATATTATCATTAAAAAATTCTGAAGATACTTAGCAATGCTTAGAATAAATAGTAAACGCTTTTTTTTCGTTTTATATGAAACTGCTTTATAGATATAATTTATAGTAGCACGTAGAAAATCAATCTCATTATCCAGATTGCAAATATTAGTACCGATAATATTGACGTTTAACGGGATAAAGAAATGTATATTTAAGTAATGAAAGATGCGTTCGTTTAAATTGTTACATTGCACAAATGAGAATATAATAAGGCTATTTGCCTTAAAATGTAGAAATATTTTAAAAGTAGAACTAATTTAACATTATCCGATAGTTATGCTGATTTTTAACAGTCATTCATTTTTTAAGCACTTGTATTCTTTTCAAGTTTGTTCGTAACTACGAATACTCTTTTTTCTATCTTGTGTTAATTTTTTTTTATTCAGTATCTGAACTAGAATTATTTGAACTAGAATTTGTATCCTACTATAGAATTGTAAAGTTCATGTTGGTACGTATATCGGAATATTGTAGGCTTTCTATAATTGCTTATAAAATTTTTTTATGGATTTTCTATCGCGTTTTATAAAAGTTCAATATTAAAATTGTCTTCGGTTATAAATAAAATATTACTATATTTAGGAAAAGAGATCACTTTTATTCGAAAATTAATCTGAATTTTCTTTAATAATTAAAACATGCTAGCTTTCTGCCGTGCCTTTTTCACGAGAATTTTTCGAAAATCGTTCATTACTTTAAAAAATTCTATTATAGAATTTGCTTCGGATAATCGCATTATGTGTTGTATCAGAATTATCATAACTCCAACTCCTATCATAAGCTACAGTAAAACTTACTTGCTATTCCAGTGACAATAGTTCATAGTTTAAGGTCGAGTTATATTGAAATTATTGTAATTCCTCTTACGAGTTGCTGCAAGAAATTCTGTTACAAAACTCACTCATAATCAAAAATGTAGTGTTAATTTCGTATTGTAATTTTTGTAACTTCTATAGAGTTGCTTTAAAATATCCTTTTTGTTACAGAATTCGCTATTCTAGTAAAGCAAGCATGATATGTATTTAAGGTTAAGTTAGTTTACATCGAATTATCGTAACTTTTATCATGATAATCATATATATAAGTTTCTAATTCATTTAGCTCTAAGTAATAGGTCAGCAAAGCTTTCATAGAGTCGGTGAACAATCATTCACCTATTTTTACAAATTTGGAATTCGGATACGATCATTATGATATTCTCCGATTATTAATATATATGGGATCTTTGTTAGGAAAATCACCCTTCGGGATTTTCCGATCTGGCTAATTCGGAAAAGTTTAGACCAGAATGCTAGTTATTGTTCATATGCAAATCGCCTTTGCTTTATTTATTCAATAGTTTATAGTTTATGGCATTCTGGTCTAAGCTTTTCCGAATTAGCCCGATCGGAAAATCCCGAAGGGTGATTTTCCTCCCATATAAAAGAATCGTACGTAATTAATTTTCGATTATGACAAATTACGTAATTTTATATCATTTTTGGTTACTCGCATAGTAATTAATCTACAAGCGTCGTTGTTGATTTAATACAGTAATGATCCGATGATCGTCTTCACGTGATTTAAAACCAAGCACGGATTCTAACTTTGCTGTCATTATGATACAATCGATGGGACTTGAACTTGAACCATCATGGGGATTCTATGTGAATATAATGGCTAACATTACTTATTTATGTTGGACTCGACTTAAGGGTTTAAATCAATGTGACAAGTCTTGATTTGTTTATAATGTTCTAAATTCGATTTGGCGAAAAGCTCACTTTTAAGCCAGAATTGAATTACGGTCCCAGTCCAACGGCCAGGTCGATCCTCAGATTGCACTTTTGTGAGCCGGGCTGGTAGATAAAAGATGTGTTAAAATCGATTCTTCTAAAGCATATTTCGGGCTAAGAAATTGAATGTAAAATTATTTAAACGATAGATTGGCAATAATGAACGTAAAATGTGATAAGGAATTCGGATATGTTCGGGTGCATAAACAATTAATCAGCATAAAACTAATGTGTTAGAATTTCTCAAAGGCAAAAAAAGAGTAAAATAAATAAAGGGAATGCCACATCGGCGTAATTTTTTTGTTGCATACTGTAACTGCGCACAGATCTTCAATAAATTAAATCGCGAGTATTGGCGATCATTGAAGATAAGTTTTGACGCCACACCCATGTAGATCACCAATTTTTATAAACTTTGTCGAAGATATCTCGGCACCCACCTAATCAAATTCGATCAAATTTTTTTTTCTTTTAATTGTAAAAAGCTGTAGAATTCGAATAAAATAAAGTTCATCTAATTTGGTCAGTTGGGTGTCGAGATATCTTCGATCAAAGTTTTTGTATAATTTTAAATGTCTATCAAATATAAGCTGCAGTAAAAAATTGGGTTCAAACTTTGAAGATATCTCAGTACCCACCTGACCAAATTCATCAACGTTTTTTTTTTGGTTTAATTGCAGAAAACAGTAGAATTAAAAGAAAAAATGTTAATCGAATTTGGTTAGGTGGGTGTCGAGATATCTTCGATCAAAGTTAAAAAGAATCAAAAAATCAAAATTATCTACATGGGTGTGGCATTATCAAAAGGGGGATAAATAAAATAATATAAAAACTAAATTTGTCAAGAAACTATCTGATAGCTTTTTACACGTTTGATATATATAAATATATGAAGTCTAATTCTGATCGAAAAATTGTACTCGCAAGAAGGTCGGCCCGGTCGACCGGTCCGAGCTTTTTTAGAATCGACCCTGGCCTATGATTTTTCATCGGCCCGTAGATTTTTTAAAGTGCAGCATTTTATAGGGATGCTTGCTTTTTTTAAAAAAAAATTCTGCACTCGTTTGATTTTAAAGCAATAACATTGTTTTAGGAAGCTCCACGTATCTTGATCAGGGCTAAAACGACACATAGTATACGGCTGCCATTTACTGCGCCGCTGCCCATTGTTTGAAGTATCGTTTTTGATACATCAAATTTACGAGTAATAAAATTTTAATATAATATTAATCAAAAACGACACTTATTGAATGGCAGATATTTACTATGTGTCGTTTTAGCCCTGATTTTGATTACAATTTGTGTAATTGTAAAAAAAAAAATAAAATAAAAAATAAAATAATAAAGTTTTAGATGTGACAAATCGTATAATCGTTTAGATAAATTACGGCAACACACATTTCTGCGCCTGTACTCTATTAAATAGCCTTTTAGTTAACGCTATGCACACTGATAATGATATCAGAGCACAAAATCTATTGTAAAATTTCGGAGATTTCTGTCTACGTAAGACAATTTCCGGCTCGACTTTTCATCGGTCGGAAAATTTACGTTACTTAGACAAATTTCATTGGCTATTATATTTGATTAAAAAGAATATTTCCGGCAAAAAAGCAGGTTACATCACCCGGAAATTTTGTGCATTCTGATTTGGGGACCCTATTTATCCTAATACAGTAATGTGAATCAATTTCCTTTTCAGTTAACAATAACACACTGATATAATAAAAAGAAAGCGTCATATATTTTTCGTTCACATTTTAATTTTTTAATTTGAAAATGTCAACAAATAGTAACCGAGATAAAAGAAGAAAAGGAAATAGTAAAGACAAGCAAACCAATAATCGAAGTAACGAATGTTACAAATGTGGATCACCAGGTCACTTTGCTCGTGATTGCACTAGCGGTGGATCGCGAAAGCCTCAGGAGACGACACACAAACCTCGACCTAGTCCACATGAGATTGAAGAAGACCAGCTCAAAACATTATCGAATAATTTTAATTCAGCTGAATTGTCTTATGGAGGATCTGATAAGATCGTTTTTACTCCATTAGGAGATGAGCTTAAAAATGCATGGAAAAGATTTATGAAAAAAGATTTGACACATCAACACAAAATGAGGCACTTTATTACATCATGCCTTGCAGCAATGGACAAGCAGGAAGGCGATAAAGTTGAAGAGCTTGTAACGGAGTTAGGTCAGCCTGAAGGTTTGAAGCGTATAAGGGAAATCGTCATGTTTCCTATGTCAGTGGATGCGGGGTATGTGTTATGATTAATTTGATATGAGATTATACGTATAAAGAGGTTCATTATTTTATCTTTTTTAAATCCATTTATAAATCTAGACTTAGCGCATCAATTGCTTCTTTTCAACGTGTGATATTGCCATTCATGGCGCTTTTAACTCGCACTGGAATTACAGAATGTATTGTGGAGAAATATGTTCATGCAGTATTTTATACTGTCTATTCAAATCTGGTAAAAATAATATATATTTTTTTAAATTAATTGGAAAGTCAAATTCGTTCTAATTTGACTTTAATTATTATATGTATTATACATAAAAAAAAAGGATTCATTTATGTATGAAGGAGTTATTGATAAGTTAGAGATTCTAGTTAAAAGAAATAATATTGTTGACAAAAAAATTAGCCAATCAAAGTTGATTGAAGATGACGCAGTTGCATTCATACCTACCTCGTGAGTATAAGTAATGTTTTGCAAATTATAAACCAATATTTTCTAACTAAAATATAAATTTTTTATAGAATGGGCCAATTCTTTTTGGTCATAGTCAGATTGTGCAATGTATTTATGAAGCGTATAAAGGAAGCGTCGATTAACGAAACGATGTACAAAATTGTAGAGAAAATCGAACAAGCTAAAAATTTGTGGCAAAATACTCTTCAACAAGATATTGGAAACACATATAATGAACCACTTGCCTCTGATGTTGTGCTTAGGAAATATTTTTTCACAATCCTTGATAAGGAAATAGACACCATGAAGAAAATGTTGAATTATCGTCAACGCAACTTGCTGTCTCAAGAAACTCATACAGTTTCATCTACACATTATGAAAAATTGGCTAAAAAGATGGCTTTGATGATTGATTACGATCCACCAGGTATTACATACTGACATTTCTTATACTTATATAGCCAGGTTTGATTTGGAATTTTTTTGGGGGCCTGATATTTCCACACCCATTTTTTTTATTTCCACACCCCCATGTAAATTACTCTTTTTTTAAAACTTCGATAGAATGTATTTCGGCAACTACATTCAATGAATTTTTTTTTTTTATTTGAATTCTACAATTCTGTAGAATCTGAATAAAAAAAAGCTCATCGAATTTGGTTGGATAGATATTAAGATACCTTCGATCAAAGTTTTGGAAGATTTTAACTGTCTATTAAAATATTAGTCGCGGCAAGATTGTTTATGACATTTATCGAAGGTATCTTGACAACTATCCAACCAAATTCAACAAATTTTTTTATTTGAATTCTATAGATCCGTAGAATTCAAATAAAAAAAAAACTCATCAAATTTGGTTAGGTGGTTGCCGAGATATCTTCGATCAATCAAAATATTAGCTGCGATATATGTTTTTTTTTTCGACTTTGATCGAAACAATCATCCAACCAAATTTAATGAGCTTTTTTTTATTTGGATTCTACATAAATGTAGAACTCAAAAAAAAAAAAAAAAAACCATCGAATTTGGTTATGTAGTTGTCGAAATACTTTCTATCAAAGTTTTAAAAAAGAGTAATCTACATGGAGAGTGTGGAAATAAAAAAAACGGGTGTGGAAATATCAAATCCCTTTTTTTATTATATAGCCGGGTTTAATTTGAATTTTTTTTTATTATTAAAAAGGTGAACTTTCCAAGAAAGGACCACGTCATGATAATGATTTCAGTGAAGTATCAAAAATTTCGATTATTCCAACTAAGAATGAAATATTATGCGATCGGGAACCATTTTTACCAACAACGAATATGGATGACACCTTGCATCATCTACCGAAAGGTGCAGAACGCCTTCTTGACTCACAGTTTCGTCTTCTCAGAGAAGATATGATGTGTCCTATACGCCTTGGCATTGAAAAGTATGTATTATTTAAAAAATAAACTAAATTCGACTAAATTTCAAATTTAATAAATTTCAATTTTAACTTTTTTTTCAACAGTTTCATTAAATTTATCTCGGAATCAGCCAAAAATCACGCAAAAATCAAGAAATTACAAGAGCATGGTGGAAGACACAAGTATGAAGACAAAAAAGGCATGGAAGGTGGCGACCTAAATGTATATGCAAATGTTCATTTTTCTGCTGTAAAAATCAATAAAAGGCGAGGCTTTTCTTGCCAAATGGGGTTTACGCAACCTCCAATGCGGCGTAATTCAGGAAGTCGATTACAATATTGGAACAAAAGTGGAAAGCTTATGAATGGAAGTTTAGTCTGTCTGCTTTGGCCATCCGGAAATAATTCACCTAATAGTAGCCTTCAATTTTCCTTGTTCTTTGGAACAGTATCGCTTCGTGATGAAAAGTTATTGTCGCGAAATCAACATATAGCGCTAATTGATATCAGTTTTATTGACAGCCAGATTTATCAAATTGCTTTAGAAGAAGTTAAGAAAAAAAATTTTAGTGAACAAACGGCAGGGTGCTTTATGGTTGAATCTACAGGAGTGGTAAGGACTTAAATTTTAATTTTAAATAATAGAATATATTATACATTTTGTTCTTTTTTAAACATGGTTTTATCTTAACAATGCTACAATAGTATTTTGAGTCGTATTTCCATATTTTAAAAGTTCTTCAAACAACATTACCATCAAATCTTCCTTTTGAAAAATATTTGGCACCACAAATAACCGAAAGTTCCTCTTTTGCGGTTGTTGACCCACCTACATATACTCGAGCACCTGGATTCGTGTTCGATTTATCAGTACTACTTAAAGATAAAAATAAACGACTTTTACTAAACGTTGCTGACACATCTTCTCATGAAACTGTCATTCGAAATCTTCAAGAATTAAGTAGTCTTGATAATACACAAGGTACATCTAAAGAAATTTGTAATTTGGCTTTCTAAGAATTATTTAATTAATATCTTTATAAATTTGATTTATAAAGCGCAATCCCTTGTATATTCTTTATGTCGAGAAGTTGCTTTGATTGAAGGTTAGTTTTCCAGACTATACATCAACATATTCTACATATATGACTATACTATTGTATTTATATAATAAAAATAATGTTTAATTTAATATAATAGGACCTCCTGGAACTGGCAAAACTTTCGTTGGCATTGAAATAATGAAAGCGTTGCTAGCAAATAAGAAAACTACAAAAATAGGGCCAATATTGACAATTTGTTTTACTAATCATGCATTAGACCAATTTCTTGAGGTAATGAATAATCATATTTAGAATTATTTAAGATAGAATAATAGCTAATATGGTTTTATAACACTTTCAGAACTTATTAAAGGCTGGCATTACAAAAATTGTACGATTAGGCAGCAGATCAAAGTCTGAAATTATTAAGAATTTCACTATAGAAGAACTATGCCAAAATCGCCCTCATTCCAAGGTTCAAAAACATATGTTATATGAAGGATATGAAGAACTTAGAAGAATTCAAGAAGAAGCCGAAGAAATACTAGATAATTTTTCTCGCAGATGGTTAAGTTGGGGAAATATTGCGGGCTATTTGTTTGCAGAATACACAGATCACTGGCAAAAATTTCAGAGGCCGGATATACCAAATGTTTTACTCGATAATGAAGATGAATGGCAGATAGAGAAAAAGAACAAGAAGAATAAGAAGAAAAAGCTGGCAATATTCGATCAATGGGTTAGTGGAAGTGACTTGGATCTTGCAGAGAAATGGGCTAAGAATTTTCAAACTCGAGAAGCTAAAAACAATATGAAAGCTAATGAAGCTAGTGTTAATTTATTTGAAGTTCTTGGGCACTTTAATAATGAAGAAGAATTTTCTACTGAAGATATTGAGGATTCTGAAGCTGAACGCAATATGGAAGATAATGAATCTAATATTAATACATCTGAAACGCTTAAATACCTTAATAACGAAGAAGAATTTTCTACTGAAGTTATTGAAGATTCTGAAACTGAACGTAATATGGACGATAATGAAGATAACGAGGAAGAATTTGCTACCAAAGATATTGACGATTCTGAAAATTTAATGCTAAATTGGCTTCTTTCTTGGGTTAAACCCGAAGGTAATCGACCTTTGGAAGACCTTAAAGATGATCCTAATGTTTGGCAAATGTCTAGGGTCGAAAGAATAAAATTACATGATTTTTGGAAGGAGAGCATTCAATCAGATTATATTGAACAACTTGTCAACATTAAAAAACAATACGAAGAGAAAAAAAATACCATTGATAAAATTTACGATGAAAAGCGTCGCCAAGTTCTTCGCGGTTGTGATGTAATTGGGATGACGACAAACGGAGCAGCAAAATTTCAAACTTTAATTCGCTCTATAGGTAAGACTTTAAAGTAATTATTATCATAAACAGATCTTAAATTAAATTGGATATTACAAAATTTAGGACCACGAATAATTATTTGCGAAGAAGCAGGCGAAGTCCTGGAGGCACATATTTTGAGTTCACTAACGCCAGCGACGCAGCACATGATCCTTATTGGTGATCATAATCAGGCATATATAAATAAAAATTTTTTTTAGATGTATTGATATTAAAAAAAAATTAAACTTATTAATCATTATTATTATTATTATTATTTATTATTATTATTATTTAGCTTCGTCCTCATTGCGCTACATATTCTTTAACATGTGATTCGAAAGTTGGAAGCAATTACGCTCTTGATAAAAGTCTATTTGAGCGTCTTGTTAATGGTGATCAGGCAATGCGTCTAGAAAAATCGCAATTATGCACACAAAGGAGAATGAGAGGAGAAATTTCTGACTTAATCCGGTACACTCTTTATAAAGAACTTGTCGATAACGAAAATACTAGTTATCCAGACGTACGCGGTGCTCAGAGAAATGTTTATTTTATGGATCATCGTCATCCTGAAGATTCCGGTGAAAATGATTTTGCAGTGAACTCACATTCAAATACTTATGAGGTTAAGATGGTAATAGGGCTTGTTAAGGTAATTGATTATTTATATTCTCAACAATTGTTGAATAATATATAAATAATTAATATTATTTATACAAATATTGATGTTTTTTATTATATTTAGCATTTTGTTCGCAATGGATACAATAAACCGGGTCAAATCGCGGTATTGACACCATATCTTGGACAACTCATTAAAATAAGAGATATGTTATCAAAATCATTTGTTGTGGTAATCGACGAACGGGACGATCAATTAATTACTAATATGGAGGAAAGCATAGATGCTGAAAATAAAAATACAGATGGCGGGTCAGTGTCTTCTATTGAAAATATAAATACTGTCGCTGAAAAGAAAAAATTGTCGCAACAGGTAATTACTAAGAGTTATGTTGCTAAATATGCAGCTTTGTTAATCATAAGAATCCTAATTATTTTCTTTTTTTAATTAAATAGGTTGTTCTTCGTACAGTTGACAACTTTCAAGGAGAAGAAGCAGATATAGTGATTATATCACTTGTTCGTAACACGAGAAAGGAGAGTGACCGTGGGAATATTGGCTTTTTGAAGTCAACAAATCGCTCTAATGTTCTTTTATCTCGTGCAAAACATGGCATGTTTCTTTTGGGCAATGCAGATCTTATGGAAAGGCATTCTGATTTTTGGAAGAAAGTTTTGGAAATTTTACGCAAACGTGGTCAGATCGGACCAGGATTCCCGATTGTATGTGCTCGACACCCAGAATATAAGAACAACATATATGAAGCAAGCCAATTCGAAGAAATTTCTCCTGATGGAGGTTGTTTCGAGCCTTGTAGGTTTATCATACTGTTCAGCATCTTTTTTATACAATTGCTGCATTTTAAATTAAAATAATATCATTATAGGTTGCCAACAGTTGAAATGTGGGCATACATGTAAGTTAACGTATTTGTTGTGTAAATATTATATATTTTATTAATTGAATTGAATTATTTATAATTATAGGCCCATATAAGTGTCATTCAGATGACCCGCAACATATTGGTGTTTCTTGCCAAAAAGCTTGTATGAGATTATATCCGGATTGTCAACATCCTTGTAGAAATAAAATGTGTTGGGAAGATTGTGGTGATTGTCTTTGGCCAATTGGAAGCATTACATTGCCATGCGGGCACGAATATAAAAATGCTAAGGTATGTGATAAAGCTTTATTGAGCTTCGAAATTAATAGTTATTTAACGTTAACGTACACTGTATCTTCAATTCGAGTACAGTGTTTCCAAAATAAAAATATAGATAAAGTACTTTGCAATGAAAAAGTACTAAAGAAATTGCCTAATTGTGAACATGAACATTTAATGAAGGTATATAAATGAGCTGTTTTTTATATTAATTGTTTGTTGAAATTTTTTTATTTTATTGATTTTTATATTGATTATTATATTATTATTTAGTGTCATGTGTCAATCTATGATTTCGTATGTACAGAAAAATGTCAAAAGCTTCTTCCATGCGAACATCCCTGCATGTCTACATGTTTCGAATGTCAAGTTATATCTAAAAGAGCAAACCAAAATCCACTTATCGATAATATGGGACAGATTGTCAGATCGAATCACGGAGAATGCATACAAAAATGCGAAAGGTATTCACGTTAATTAATGTAATCAAATATATTAAATGTATTATTATTTCTGAACTAACATAGTTATTTATACACAACAATAGAAACTTATTTTGTGGTATGTCTACTTCTATTTGTGCTGTATTCTTGTTAAATTATTATTTTCTACAACCTATCACTTTGTCAATATAAGGTCATATATGTAAAGAAGGATGTCATGAGGGTCGGTCATGCAAACCTTGTGAAAGTTCCTGCAATGTTTCTTGCATGCATTCGAAATGCGAACTAATTTGTGCGGAACCTTGTTCAGTCTGTGCGGAAGGTAATATAATAATTATAATTCGTAATTAAATATAACTTAATACGAATTTAATAATTAATAATTAATATTTGAATTTTTATAGCATGTGGGTGGCAATGCAAGCATGAGGGTACTTGTAACTTGCCATGTGGCGTACCTTGCAACCGACTTCCATGTAATTTGCGATGTGAAAAATTGCTGGACTGTGGGCATCAATGTTTTGGCCTTTGTGGTAAGCCAATAGATCAAATTTCATGTTTTATTTATAAAAAAAATTTAAATTAGTTTTCATTATATTTTTTAAAATTGTGAATTGTAGGCGAGAAATGTCCTCCATCAAAATATTGTGCAGAGTGCACTACAGATGATAATGTCAAAAATCAAGGTTTATATTTAAGACAAGGCTATTGTTACTAACTAAAAGTTATTATTGTTTATTAATTTCGATCATCAATATTCAATATTAGTTGTTGATCTAATTATGCAAGAAACCTTTGCAGAAGTAGATTGGACTTCCGAGAGAATGGTCGTCTTAGGTTGTGGTCATGTATACACAGCAGACAGCCTCGATCATCTGATGGAAATGAAGGAATGTTACGAAATGAACGACAAAAACAACAAATGGATCCGGATCAAAACAATTACTTCACAACCAAGTGATCCTAAAAGTTGTCCGCAATGCCGTGCTCCCATTAAAAATATTTGTCGTTATGGAAGGACAACAAAAAAAAATGTTTTGGATGTTCAAACCAAAAAATTCTTGGTGAAATATGGTAATCAACTAAAAAATCGACATGCAGATATAACAAATGCTACAAAACAACTAGGGATTAAACGAATGAAATTTTTAAAAGAAATTCAAATACCGTTGAAAGATAAAGAAACGAAAATTATAAAAAGAGATTCAGTGTTGCAAAAACTTCCGGAAATTATATCAACAGAGCAATATATATTTCTTGATCAATATTCTATTCCATTAATGCATGAAAAGAGATGGAAGCAACATATATCCGTACTTCTTGTCATATATCGAGAGTTGATTCAACTAATGTTGGAAACAAAATCTCCTCCGCATAAACGTGCATACGAGAATGCAGTATCTCTTTTGTAAGTTAATAATCTTTTATTTTAGATTTCAGAAAATATTCACCCGTGTATACATTTTTACTTTAAATTATTATAGGTATGATTACAAAACTCGAATTAATATATGTGATCTCGGCAAAAATTTCGTGTCTTTGGATAATTCAAATTATGACTCTCCCGTTCATCAACATCTTAAACTTCAAGAAACCTTGGCGGAAGTTGGGTTAAGTGCTCCAAAAATGGACGTCAGAATATATCTTGATGCATTTTTGGAAATAATTAATATTCAAAAAGTTATTTTCCATGAAATTTCCCTGATTATCCCAGAGTTGTCAAAAATAGCAGTAATGGGAAATCAAACTACTTCTTATGAAAAAAATTGGATTGAATTTGGCGAAGATATAATCGTATCAATTAAAAAGCATCTTGATATTATAATTACGACAGCTCAACAAAATAGTTATCTTCGTCACGCTATTCTGACGTCGTTGGAGTTAGCGGAAGTTGAGTGTAAAGCTGAACGATTTAGGCTCAAATATCCTCCTGCAGGCCAAGTAACTCCTATTATTCAACGGTCTGTCAAAAATAAATGTTCTGAAATTGAAAGGACATGTGAACATATTTGTAATGAAATGCTTCCTACAATGAGTGCTGAATATTTTGAAAAACAATGCAAGTCAAGAATTGATAAAATTCTTCAAGAGGTTTCGGACCTTCGAGATGCAGCTATGAGGGATAGACCTTTAACACATGAAGAAAAGCTGGAAATAAGTAAAGCAATGAATAGCGAATTTCGGGGATCAGGAGTAATATATAAATTATATTCTTTTGCCTTTGTATTTTTACATAATAATCAAATTAATTTGAAACTTTACAAAATTAAACTTTAGCATTGGTACCAGTGTCCAAACGGCCATCCTTATACAATAGGTGAATGCGGAGGTGCCATGGAAGCTAGCCGGTAACTTTATTTTGAATAATATTATAGTCTAACCTCGATCAAAAGCTATCTGCTTGATAATTTAACCTTTATATAAGCACTATAATAGTTGCAATATATTTGACCACTAAATGATCATATCGAGGTTAAACTGCACTTTTTTGAAGTCTTTGACTAATTCACGTTTCTGATCTTTTTAAGTTGTGTGGATTGTGGTGCGTCAATTGGCGGCGGACGTAAATATTTTTTCTTTCTTTAAAAATCCAATAATTGAATCATTATTTGAAAGATTGAAAAAAAAACTAATTATCACTTGCTAAAATAAATATTAGATCATAATCTTCTTGCTGGGAATAGTCTTAGCATTGAATTTGATAGTATGCGGTTGTGAAAGGTATGCGCAAAAATTTAATAATATATTAATTAGGTTCGGCGCTATGCTTGATATACATATCTTTATATAACTACATTTCACTATTAGAACTTTCTTGCGATTTTGTCCGTTCTAACTGCTACAAAGACAATGAGCTCATACTCATCTTAAGTAAAAGTTAATCGCTGAATTTTTTTTCTTTTTTTATATTATTATTATATTTCGTGTTTGCAAAATAGAACATTTATAGATTTACCAATATTTTATGCGTGCCGCTAGTTTTGATGACTTCTTAAAATTTCTTTCATATGCAAATATGTGTAATATGCTTTTCTTTTATACCTTTCACACACAGAACTTTTTATTTTATAATGCGTATAGGTTATTTCGAAGTTAAAATTTGATTAAAGATTGCTAGTTTATGTTTGTAGATACGAACATGTGAATAGTGTTCTATACAATGAGTGCATATAATAGATATTGGCGCGGCAGAATTATAACTCTTAATAAATCATAACCGCCAAAAATTTTTAGAAATACTTTATTTTGCCATCGAAATTTACATAATCAACACTTCATTCACTATAATTTTACTTACGATGTTGGTAGAGTAAGTCATTATAACGACAAAGCTCTTTTTTTTTGTATCGATCCAAATCAAGTTAGATAAGATCTGGCAGTTTAACAAAAATAGAAAGTCCGCGCTTTGAATGATAGAAAGTTTGTGCGATACATATCATTCACAGATTGATAAAATTGATGACTGGACTCGTTTCAACTCATAATTTGCGAATTAATTATTATTATTATTTATTCTATTTATTCGAGTCATGAAATCAATTTATTGAAAAATGTTTGTAAATTTTGCAAGTAACTCGCGAGTTAACTCGAATCATGATACGTAATTCGAGTTATTCGAATCATGATACGTAATTCGCGTTATTCGAGTCACGATACGTAATTCGCGTTATTTCAGGTCACGAGTCGACGAGTTCAGTCCAGGGACCCGCAAAATTTTGGATATCAAATCGAAAAAATTTATTTGGGTATCGACTAAAATTTGTATGAAATTTGGGCCAAAAGTGTAAAATATTTGGATGAAATTTGGGCAAAAAGCGTAAAAATTTGGATTATTTTTCGTTAAAAAAAAATTTTATTCGATTCCGAATCTTCACGACAGACATGCCTAAAATTTACGACTAGACATTATTCTGATTTTGGTTCGTAATTTTCTGGTTCCCCAAATAGTCACTAAATAGTTAATTTTTATTGGTCAGATCACATGAAACCTGAAAAAATCATCAAAAATTTGGCCAGAATTTGGATATCGGGCTAAAATTTGGAACCATTTGGATTGAGTGCAAAAATTTGGAAAAATTTGGATCCAAATTTTTGCAGGTCCCTGGTTCAGTCGCAAAAACTAATACTGCATAACTTGCACATATCACAAGTTTAAGGTTATGATAATAAATAGGTATATATTTAAATCGATGACCAGATGGCAATTCTTGAATGCGCGCCAGGTTCAGGGACGGTGATTTTCTGTGGTGATTAAGACTAAATTCTGTATGTGGTTAAGATAAATTTAACCGTCTTCAATTGGATAAACTAGATCACGCCACCTTAGCGCAGCCGCAAAATCAAAAAAATCAAAATAATTAAACAAAAGCTTATGCACTACTGCAGTAAAAAAAAAAAAAAATCGAACCTAAACATTAACGAAAATAAGTGCTTCTGACACAACCAAGAAAATTTTATAAATTATTTTGCTTATTCTCAAAAGAATAAAATTTTGCTGAGACCTACGTTTACAAGCTTGTAATTTTAAAAACTACCCAACTCTGTTTCAAAATTCCTTAATTATATTCTGTCCGCGATTTTACTTTTGTTTAAAAAATAATTAACACGAACATTTGAAATATTTTAAATTCATTTTATTGATACTGTTACAATACCGCAAATAAATAAAATGCTACTGCAAATTGCTAATTAATAGACTTTTTTTTTTTTTTTTGACTACTAATACAATAATGTACTCAAACCCGTAAATTTATAGTTTTTCTCCTACACGTGGTCAAATTTATACCAATCAAATCAAGTTCAGTGTATAACGAACTCGGACATAGCGATAGTGAGAGATTAATTGTTATCGTTATCATTTAATTTACAGCAATAAACTAGACTGCAACACTCTTATGTGTTTAATAAATTTGTAAATTATGGTTTTGTTTTTTTTTTTACTAAACGAAATTCAATTCTCATACATTAATATATATAATCAATATTTCGGTGTATAAGTACAGGTGACCCTCGTTAATATCAACCCATTTGAACCTGGTTTAAATTATGTTGATAGTGATATTAACGAAGGTTTATATTAAAGTTGATATATAAGAGGGAATTTTGATATACAAAAATTCATAAAATTTGGTTTTTGGCATAGGTTGATATTAACGAAGTTGATATTAACGGGGTCACGTGTATATAAACATTTCTCATTTAAGTTTTACAATAATTAGAACTTCTTCAACAGTAATTCCTTACGATCATTTTGAATTCTAAAGCTTTAAAGCTTACAACCCTTGACATACAATACACATTAAAAATAAGTAACGCATGCAAAATTTATTTAATGACACTGAATCAATTCGAGTAATTATTAAAAACATGACTACTATAATTAAAGTTTATAATACAAAGTTCAAATAAAAAAAACAACATATAATATTTTACGATATACTTTATTAATTTATTTCATCTAATAAAAAAAAGTAAAAAAATTATTTACTGTATATATATATTTATAAATTATAGAAATAATAATAGTAAAAAAAAACAATAAATCTCGTAATTATAAAACTATCTACCCAGTCGAAGAAAAAAAAAAAAAAAAAAAAGAAGTGACATACAGTAGATACCCCAGAATATGGCGTGTCAGTAGTCGGCAAATATTAAAGAGAATATCAACACTAAGTTAAAAGTATGGAAATCTTATACAAATAATTCCAATAACTCAAAATTTTATTATGCTCAAATATAAAATAAAAACTTTCATAGATATGAACAACCCAAAAAAACATATATGAACATACTCAAAAGCTGCTACTGGAAATGTGTAGCCTAGAATTCTTGAAGTAGTGCTCAACATAATCAAGCATACAATTCTGATTGATAAATTATTAGCTGCGGCTGCGCCATTGATCCGTATTTTGGGGGCCGACTCATCTTTTATATGGCCATTTACGGTAGTAACGTACGTACAGTACGTATGCTATGCACGTTTGTACGTACTATGATCAATGACCACGAAAAAAAATTTTTTTTTTTTTTGATAAGTCAGAATAGAGACTGGACTCGAGTCAACTCGTAGCTTAAAAAACATAGTCTTAACTCGAATTAACTCGAGTCAAGGCTATGTTTTTTAAGCTACGAGTTGACTCGAGTCCAGTCTCTAAGCCAGAAAAACAGCATTCTCTGATCAAAAGAATTATCACCATACCAAGATGATGTTATCTCATATTATTATTATTATTATATTATACAAATACAGTGATTTGATTTAAAATCATTGATATTTGGTTTTTATCAGGTGTTTGGTATCAAGTTTTTGCTGAGCACTACCGAGAAGAAACTTGTTATGAGTTTAATAATTACAGAATTACAGTAATACTCATCTACTAACTGAAAAAACGTGAAAAAAGAGTATAGGAGATAAAAAAAAAATAAAAAGGCAACCCTTATATATTCTTTTTTTTTTTTTTATCGACACGTCTATTTTTCGAGATCTGCAAGACACGGTTGACAATTAAGGTAAAAACGCGTTTCAAACCAATCAATCATAAGACTAGGTTAATGCAAAATCAATGATATCATATCAGGGTCATATGTTCCATATTATCCTTTTCGGCTGATTATCTCATGACACGTTTTCGAAAATTTTTTAGTAACTTAAAAATTTCATTCTAATAAAAAATATTATTTTCACTAAAGTTTCTTTGATGAACTTGGTCACATGGTTTGTATCACAGCCGCAAATTATTATCTTTTTCAAGTACCTAAATAATTTTATTATAAATTCTCTGAATTGACGGACGAAGATGTTAAAATTAATTTTATTATACAGTATATATATGTATGTATATTTATATATGTATATATATTGTATGTATGTAGATTCGTACATATAAATATATATATACAAAGATATATAAATACAAAGATAAATAAATACAAAGATCAAAAATCATCTACTGTATTTCAAAATATCGAAGAATTCCATAGTACTTAAATATTTCTTCCTACTTCTATCATTCTTTCTTTCCTTATCCGATTCATAATATTTTCCACCCTCAAAATCATAATTTTCTTTAACATAACCATTAATTAAACTTCGACCTGGATTTAAATCAATGTTAAGTTCAAACCCAAAAGGAATAATAAGTCTAGTTGTACTCCTTTTATCGTTGGATTGTCGTTTAACTTCTAAGGGTAATCTCCATAATACATTCTTTTTTCGTTTGGTGAATATTTTAGAAATAATTTGTCTATAACTGATCGAATTATTAACTGGCGAAATGGTAAGTGTTGATGGTTTCTTGATATAAACTCTTATCGGTTTTTCAAGTAGTTGGATTTGAATTGGTTTCAATCGTGTTTCGCGAGTAACCAAAGAAGAAAATTCGGTGGTACGTACAGGATATACGAAAAGGATAACTGATGAAATTGTTGGCGTTTTCCACTTATTTGACGAGTAGTAACGTAATTCATGGTTGACCTTGCGTGGAATAAAGAATGTGCGGCATGTTTGCGAATTATAATACTGCTGAATGAATTCAACCGTTCGTTTTAACGTCCCTTGATAATTTTTTTTTAAAAAAAAAAGTGTGTAAAGTGTGTCTTGACCACGTTAACTGTATCTTTTAATTACAAGTAATTTTTTAAGTCTCGTTTTACCTTCCTGTTCGAATACTACTTGAATAATACATTTTGTATGTGGTATGTACTCTTGATTATTATTCTCTGGAACTTCCATTTTATCCATTATGGATCCTTAATAGAATAAAGAATTCAATAATTAAAAGAAATTGATTTAAAATCGGTCAATTAAGACAATGAAAAAGAAAAGTTTTTTTTTTTAATATTATATAGATGGCTTAAATGAATTTTTTTATTCATTACGTGTACTAATCAATCATTGATCTTTTCAATAAAATCAACATTTTTTTTGATCATTTGAATTTTTTGAGGCACTACTGTTTTGATTTTTGATTTTGATCTATCTGTCAGTTCTTTGATCTGTTCTTTTGTTGAACGCATAATTACCGGTAATTATTTATATCTTTTATTGGAAATGCTATAAAAGAATTTCTTAACTTTTGTATGGTGCTAAAAAGTCTATACTAAACATACATCAATTGTTTTTTAATCACTTTTATTACAAAAGGTTTTTCAAAAAACTGATCGGTAACTTTATAAAGCAATATTAATTTTTTATAAATTTGTTTGAAACATTTATTATAAAACGCACCTATGGTGGTTTTACATCTATTATATGTTACTATATACAGTATTTTTTCTAAGTTTTTTATATTAGTTTAGTGCTAGAATTAAGGTTTAGGAAGGGTTTTTGGGGACGTAGTGCATTTTTACTTAGAGTATCGCATATCAATTAATTAGTCGGTTTTTAAGATAATGCGACATAGTAATAGGTGGTAAAACACCATAGGTGCGTTTTAGTAAAAGTATTTTTGAAAAACCTTTTGTATAAAAAATTGATGCGTTTTAAAGATTATTATTGTTTTATACTTTATATACTGTAATTACCATATGTTTAATTAACTTTAAAAGCAAAGTTTTAACAATTTAAGCTGCTTCTATAAAAAGTTGATACATTTTAAAGCTATACTCTTTTTATGGTCTAGTAGTATAAACTACTAGCACTATATATATTAACTAAGTTCAAACTTATAGTGCAAACTAAAATTTCATTACACACTTAAGTTGTTTTAAGATTCTTAATCCACGGAATTCCGAATTCACTTACAGTATTTTCGAAAGAATTGTAAAAATTTGAATAATCAATTTCCTAAATATTATTTTGCGATTTTTTATTTCTTTTTCGGAAAATATCATTCATTTTCTCTTTCGGAAAAATACAAGACACTTCGTTATAGTGAACTATCTTTATAGTGAGCTCTCGTTATAATGAATTCTTGTTATAGTGAAGAATATTTTATATAAAAACTCTCTAAATTTTAGAGGGTTTTATATAAACTGTTCTTCACTATAACAAGAGCTGGAGCTCTTTATAAAGCCAATGGATACTAATTTTTTATGCTCCATTGGCTCTATTACCACCTTACTCTATATAGTAGACTCTTGATATAATAATGAAGAAAATATCACAGCCTGATCACTTCACTATAACGACTTGTACAGACTTGTACAGAGTTCTACAATGTAAATACATATCAACACCTATTCTATTATTTTTTTACGTGTATGAAGAATAGTCCCAAGATGGATTTTTCCGAAAAGACACAACACAAATAAGTTACTTTATCAGGTATATAGTCATTTATTACAACCCTAGTCATATCATTTAAAAGTCACATGACTGGTAACGAAGTCATTAGATACAGTACGTACTGTACTGTACGTAATAAGTTAACAGTGATTGTGTGATCGAAATTATCCTATATAAAAATGCCACGATAATTAACCTATAATCCTGTGTAACTTAACAATTTAAACCGTTATAATTACCCGTTATTATTCTTGGCTAATCTATTCATTTCGATTTTACCAAATTTTTTAATATAACTAGAATTTCATTCAAAAATGGCGATACCTATAGAAGATTGGTATTATGACGTTCCTATAATCACAAGAACTTTTGTAACCGCGGCTGTTTTAACCAGTTTGGCTGTGGTATGAGCCTGCAATCGCGATCTTAACTTTTAACTTTAAAAAAATTATATATATATGGTTTTCTGAATTCTATTTGCTTTTGGAATCAGCAAGTTGGTTTTGTGACTCCTTTTCAACTTTACTTCAATTTTGATAAAGCTTTTTATGATCTCCAGGTAAAAGGAAAGGAAACTATCTCATTTTATTATTAACTTTATAAATTTACGCGTTTTTTTATTATTTAGCTTTGGCGACTGGTGACAAACTTTTTATATTTTGGTCAATTTTCACTTGATTTTTTATATCACATGTTCTTTTTGTATCCTTAAGTCAAAATTATTCTTTGATCAATATATATAGTTATTAATATATCTCTAATTTTATCAAATTTTCCTTAACTTCTTACATTTTCTTTTTTATCCTAACAAAGAGTACGTTATAGTCGTATGCTAGAAGAAGGTTCATTTCGAGGAAGAACTGCTGATTATTTTTGGTTATTGTTTTTGGCTGCTGTTTCTTTATTAGTAAGTCTTTCTCGCGAAATCGCGATTTTATATTTTAAATTAAATTATTACTCATTCTAAATTAATTTTAGCTTTTATCCCCATTATCAAATATGCCTTTTTTGGGTTCACCTTTGGCTTTCACTTTGGTTTACATATGGTCACGAAGAAATCCTTTCATTAGATTAAATTTTGTGGGTCTATTTGTATTCAGTGCTCCATTTCTTCCTTGGGTATTACTAGGTTTTTCTCTGTTATTGAACAATGTATTTCCTACGGGTGATATGATGGGAATTGCTGTTGGTCATGTTTATTACTTTTTCGAAGATGTATGGCCAAATGAGAGAAATAGTGGTGGACGTCGATTATTGAAAACTCCTCAAATAATGTGAGTTATTTAAATTATTCTTTTGTGAAAATTATTACAATATATATATATATATATTTATATTTAATTTCATTTTTATTTCAAATTTCTTGCTTATAGTGCACGAATGTTCGAAGGAATTCAAGATGGTCCTCATATACCACCACAAGATGATCTTGCTTTTGCTGATGGATTAGGTGAACAAGGCATGGATCAAGTTCAAAATGAAGGTGTCGTTCCTGTAACATAATCGTAAATATTCAAAGATATAGATATTATTATAAATTCAACTGATAATGATGTAATTGCTTTTTTTTTTCTTTTTTTTTTATAATATTATAATTTTACTGATTTAGTATACACAAATCTCTGTGAGATAATTTTGTTTAAATCTCAAAAAAAAAAATGGTACTGAAAAAAAAATGGTACTGAATAAACCGAACAATTTACTTTTACTTTTTAGCACTAATTATTTTTGGTTTGCAAATAGAACAATTTGGCTAAAGGTAAATTTTAAGGAAGTCTGCCAAACTTAATAATATTTGTAGAGGATTGGCAAATATAAGGCAGTATATAGATAGTGAAGTAAGAATACAAATGAGAAATTACTACGACAATTCGAAAAAAAAAATTAATAAATATTTTAAAAATAAATTTTTACAGATTCTGCACCCGTTTTATTAAACCATCGAGTGGGGTAAAAATTTTATATAAAACTATTATTCATGGTGATAATGATAGGTTTATTTTTTAATACGTAGTAAATTGTAACACTAAGCACTATTTTTAAAAAAAGAAAAAAATTTGCATTATGAAAAGTATACGATGGTTTAGTAGACAATTACTCTTTTTATTTTCAAGTTTAAAGCGTGTTAAATAATAATCTTATTTTTAGAAATTGTATGCTATTTTATAATTTATAGCAATAATTTTTAATAAATTTTTTATTAATTAATTTTCAAAAGAGATTCATATAGAGTTTTGAAATTCGAACCTAATAATATATCTACTGTAGATGGGAAATGGTTACAAAAGCGTTATTAAAGGTCTGAAGGCAATTATGACATTGAGTATGGTATAGTATCTAGTTACCGACCTAGATAGAAATTTATGCTTATACGATACGGGCTAACAAGTTCATTCAGGTCATTCAGGAAATGTAGGCACTTTTATTGTTATTACCCTGCAAGTTTGCTTTAGTTCCCTCAATGGATGCTAATGGGTCTTTATACTTTCAAAAAGAATATTGATACTCTTGATCCCTTAGACCTTACATGGAAAGATCCGGAAGCGAAGATGATTCTTAGTGATAAATCAAAACTAGTTAAAAGTTGCAGGAAAATACATTTATAATATGAACAACCTTTATTTTATATAAAATTCTAACATTGGCTAAGTTAAAGATTTTTTCTCAAATTGTAGTCTATTTATATATAATTCACAGGAGAATATAAAATGTGATCTTCTCAAATCAATTCTAAGTGTGATAAATTTGTAGAAAATTTTAACAGAACAATTGGTTTAATAAAATTTAATAATATTTTTTTATAATAAAATATATAGAAAAAAAATAACTAATTAAATTCTGAGCATGCTATTTGTAATTTTACTGCAAATTACTTTTTTTGAATAAATATTTTATCTATTACAACTAGGGTTGCTCAAAGTCAAATCGAATCGAATATTTACATATTTGAATTTGATCGAATTGAATAAGCTCTTGATTTGAATTTGATTTGATCAAATCAAATTCAAATCAAATCAAATTTATTTGTAATTTTTATTAAGTATTTTCAAATCAAATCGAATATTTTGTCAATTTGAATTTGATTTGATTTGAAATTTCTGTATTTGAATTTGATTTGAGATCAAATATTTGATTGAATCAAATCAAATCAAATCAAATTGCAAAACCCTAATTACAACTTATAATTTGTATATTTTTACAACAAGTATGTCTTGTAATAAACAAAGCAAAAAAATTTATATTGCAAATATTATAACATCTTTACTTTGGGCAACTTTGTATAATTTTTTTTTTTTTTTCTTTTTCAACTTTATTGTTTAATTATTCTAATATATATAGCCCTTCTTTCTTCCTTCAATGGAAAAACTTCTTGATTAATAGCCCTTCGAGACGCTTTATTAAAAATATTTGCAATGCTTAGACTATTTTTATGTAGTTCTTCCAAAGACATACTGATAAATGATCACACTTTTCAAACCTTATTGACTAGAACTCTACATGGCTCTACTTTAACAATAATCATAAATGTTTATACAATTTCACTAATTCTAAACTTAGTCACTTTAAATCTTTTAAAATTAAAATGTTACTTAATAGTCTATCTACATACTTCTATTTTCACCCTATATCATCTAACTTATTTCCATCTTCTAACTGTTTCTAATGCAATCTTTCTAACTCTCCTTCTCACTAGTACTCCTATTCCCACTATAATCTTCTATTCCAAATTATTAATTATTCTATCTCAGAAATTATTTTGAATGCCAATCTTGATCTTGCTTCTCATGAACTTAATTACTTAATACATATAATTTCATCTCATCCTTCCTTCTTCTTCTATTCTTCTACTCTCTATTCATACTCTTTTCATTCTACTTTTAAAGATCTTATTCCTTTTCTGCTTATTTAATATATATTACTATTTGACATATCTTATTCAATAGCTTTTTAGCTCATTATTAAAATTCTCATCAAAATTCTAATCAAATTTACAAATAAATATGAAAATCATACTGTATTAATTTTTCTACTTGGAAAAAGGCACATCAAATATTATTAAACTCTATCTCTATTTAAGTTAGCCAATGATTTTCTACTTGTTTTTATAATAGAATTCATAACACTTTTACATATAGCTGTCTATGCAACTTATCTGATCAACTACACTCTGATTCTTCTTTTTGCCCCCAGCTGGGCTTGCTAAATTTAAATTTAATATCTAGTTCACTTTGTGGATCTAGTTCAGTATTCCTACTAATTATATATTAACTATTCAAATCTAGGTGAGCTTTAACTACTCTAGTAGGTTTAAATCACAAATAAATTAGGTTGAGCTTTTATTCTTGTATGTAATTTATATTTATTCATTTATATATGAATTAAGTCTTCATTTAGTTTTGTTTCTTTATGATTACTTATATAAATTACTTAATAAAGATATGA